GTCACATTTAGGCCAGATAAGGATGGTGGGCTCCTTTTCTAAAGGAGTGAACCAGATGGGTTTTTCCTGATAATCAACACAGTTTCATGGTCATCTTTAGACTCTTAATTCCAGATTTTTTATTGAATTCAAATTCCACCATGTGCCATGCCAGGATTCAAACCTGAGTTCCCACAACATTATCCGGGTCTCTAGATTAATAGTCTAGTGATAATACCACTAGGCAATTGCCACCCCTTAGTTAAAAGAAGGGAAATGAGCAGGAAGTGCAGTATTAATTCTATCATAAACTCAGTGTAATTAGTGATTGGTAGGCCAATGTTCTGGGACATGAGCTCAAATCCAAACACAGTAGCTGGTGGAATTTAGATTCAGTGAATAAAATCTTGAATTGAATGGTAATGGTGACCATAAAGCTATCATAAATTGTTATAAAAAAGTATGGTTCACTAATGTCCTTTAGGGAGGGAAATCTGCCATCCTCATGTGGTCTGGCATACACGTGACTCCAGATCCCCAGAAACATGTTTGGCTCTTAAATGGCCCCCTGAAATGGCCAAACAAAATCACAGAGTTTAGGGGCAGTTGGCAAAAGATACCTGCATCATTAGAAATGCTCACATCCCATGAAAAATTAAATACAAAATAATTGTTTTACTGTACACATTTGCCTTTATTTACACCAATATTGTAGAACTTGGAGAAAATTTCTAAAAGAAAGTAAGCTAAAAGCAGATGGAAATTGGAATAGGAGATATCAATATTTAAATTATTCTTATTAAGGGACAATAACGAAGAAGGAACAAATGTCATTCAGTCTTGATAATGGAAAACTTTAGGGCAGATGGATTCCTTCTGGTTACATTATTACTTTAGATTTAGGATTTTGAGGAATTTCTGAGAATTTAACTTATGAAGTAGTAAGGACCTAGGAACCCACATAAATCAGCAAACACAGGCATATTGGGTAAGTAGGACACAGTGTAAAATGGGATAATTTTTAGAAGGCATTTGACTTGATAAAGGGCCACATCAAAGGTTATTGTAGAAAAATATCACAGTGCAGATGGTAACATATCAGCAGCATGGATAGAACGTTGGCCAGTTAACAGGGAGCAGAAAGAAAGAATAAGTGGGTCTTTTTCAGGTTGGGAAGATGTAATTTTTTTTATTCGCTTGTGGGATGTGGGCATCACTGGCTGGCCAGCATTTATTGCCTGTCTGTAGCTACCCTTGAACCAAATGGCTTGCTACACTATTTCAGAGGGCAATTCAGACTCAACATCATTGCTGTGGGGTCTGGAGTCACATGTAGGCCAGACCAGGTGAGGGAGGCAGATTTCCTTCCCTGAAGGATATTAGTGAGTCGGATGGGTTTTTCCTGACAATTGGCAATGGTTTCATGGTCATCAGTATTTTCTTAATTCTTTTCAAATTCCACTATCTGCTATGGTGGGATTTGAACCTGGCTGTCTAGAACATTAGCTGAGTTTTTGGATTAATAGTCTAGCGGTAATACCGCCACAACATTATCTCCCCATGAGTGGAATATCAGAAGGATCTGTACTGGGACAACAACTGTTTACAGTTTATAAAAAGAAATGATTTAGATGAAAGGATGGAAGGTGTGCTTGCCAAATTTGCTGAAAACATAAAGATAGATACAAAAGTAAGTTGCAAAGAAGGCACGAGGAGGATTCAAAAAGATGTAGATAAGTTAACTGAATAGGCAAAGATGTGACAAATGGAGTTATAATGTGGGAAATTGTCCATTTTGGTGGGAAGAATAAAACAGAAATATTATCTAAATGGTTAGAGATTGCAAGTTCTGAGATGCAGAGAATTTGTGTGTCTCATGCATGAATCTTATAAGATTGGTATGTAGCCACAGCAAGTTATTAGGAAAGCTAACAAAATGTTATGATTCATTATGAGGGAAATTGAATACAAAAGTGGGGAGGTTATGCTTCTGTCATACAGAACACTGGTGATACCTGGTCACATTATTTAAGGAAGGTGTAAATGTATTGGAGGCAGTTTAGAGGAGGTTTGCCAGACTAATACCTGGGATAAATGGGTTGTCTCATGAGGAAATGTCAGGCAGATTAGCCTTTTATCTGCTGAAATTTAGAAGATTAAGAGGTGACTTGATTGAAACATATAAGATCCTGAGGTCTTGACAGAGTAAATTAGGGAGAGGATGTTTCCTTTTATGGGAGAATCTAGAATGTTCACTTTTAAAAACAAAGGATCACGTGTTTAAAACAGAGATAAGGTGATTTTGTTTTTCTGAGTTTTGAGAATTTTTGGGACTCTGTTCCTGAAAGAGTGATGTAAATTGAGTCCTTGAATATTTTTGAGGCAGAAGTAGATATATTCTTGTTAAGCAAGAAGGTATAAGGCTCTTGGGGAAGGCAGGAATGTGGATTTGAGGTTACAATTAGATTGGCCATGGTTTTATGGAACGGTGGAGCAGGCTAGAGGGGTTGAAGTGCCTACTCCTGCTCTAATTCATATGTCCATTTGTTGATAACTGGGATAACAGCAGAGATTTGCATGACTTGACATTTATGCAAGGTGGACATGAGGAGGAAAACCAGAAGAACATTGCAAGTTTAAGTGTGGAAGGGACAAAGGCATGGTGAACTTTCAGCAGCGAAAGTGCTAAAGTGGATAGGAGATGGGCAATGCTATGTATTTTGGTGGTCTTTATGACGAGGAAGATTTGTGGTTGGGAGTTTAGACTGATGCAGAATAGCACACCAAGGTGGCAAATAATCCGCGAGAGTTAGTACAGAGAGGTATGGAATTAGAGGCATTTGGAGTTTGTGACAGTCACCAAAAATAATAGTCCTGCTTTTATTAATGTTTAATCTGACAAAACTGTGGTTCGTCCAGTACATGATGTCAGCCATGCAAACACTGAGGCCGAGGTAGTGTACAAAGAAGCAGAGGAGACTAAAAGCTGAGTGTCACTGCGGGTCCCATGTCTTCAGATGCTGTCAATGAAGGACAGCAAGGATCAGCATGTAGATAAGGATGAAGAGAAGGCCAACTAGGATAAAGCCTTGGAGAAGTTCAGACCAAGAACTGGACAAGAAGTTGTTGAAGATGCTGTGGCTATGACTTGATAGGAAGTGAAAGTGCATTCCAGGCCTGGACAACAGAGAGGCGTTGGAGGAAGAAGGTCCTGCTGAAGACTGAGAAGAGCACAAATTATCATGAGTAGGGATAATGCATCATGGCTACAATCACAGAGATTTGTAATATTTGTAACTTTGATTAGAGCTTTTTTCAGTGGTATAGCAGGGGCAGAAAGTTGCGCAACGATTTATATGTAAGTTGCAGAAAATATTTTCAGTGATAATATATCACATTGACTGAAATATTTAATGCAATAATTACAATAATATTTCACCTTTTCTAACTGCATCTTCATCAATGATACAAGATTCCTATGTGCTGTTTCAATATAAATTACCCTATTTGTCCACATTAAGAATTATGAGCTAGTTTTTTTAGGAACCTATTTGCTCCAGATACTTCTGAATCCTATTAACCCCTTTTGTAATGTACACCCACCTCATAGTTTGGTAGCATTAGCAGATCTTACTAGACAAATGATATCACTTGAGAAACAGTCTTAACTAACTCAATATAAAGTCCAAATTAAGATAACTGGCAAAAAGCACCTGGTGGGAGTTTTAAAAAAACACATAACAAGATGCTATGATTTTAAGGTAAAGATAAAGTTGGCATAGTCCCAAAGGGCTAATTAGAGAGAGATGACTGGTGGTGGTTTAACCCGAGGGTCACCCTGCCTCTGGTACCTTTGAGAAGTTGGGACCTTCTTGGTAACCTCATGATTTTAAATACTCTGACTGAAAGGATGGTGGAAGTAGAATGGGAATGATAACTTTCCAAATGGGGAGGGGCGGACTCAGCAGGCCTGGCAGCATCTGTGAAGAGAAAGAAGATATTTTCTTTCCACAGATGTTGCCAGACCTGCTGAGTTTTCCCCAGCAATTTCTGATTTCTAGCATCTGCAGTTCTTTCTTTTCTATTAATCTTCCAAACGGGGTTGGATCAATACTTGGAGTGGGTAGAATCACTGAATTCCTACAGTGTGGAAGCAGGTCATTTAGCAGACGGTCCACACCGACCCTCTGAAAAGCATCCCACCCAGACCCAGCCGCCCACCATTTCCCCTAACCCCACATCTACCATGGCAAATCCACCTAGGCTACTCATCTCTGAACATAATGGTCAATTTCAGCATGGCCAATCTACTGAACCCACACATCTTTGGACTGTGGGAGGAAACTGGAGCACCTGGAGGAAACCCAAACAGAGTCATAGAGTTACAGAGTCATTCAGCATGGAAACAGACTCTTTGGTCCAACCGGTCCATGTTGAACAAAATCCCAAACTAAACTAGCTCCACCTGCCTGCTCCTCGCCCATATCCCTACAAATCTTTCCTATTAATGTACTTATCCAAATGTCTTTTAAACATTGTAATTTGACCCACATCTACCACTTCCTCAGGAATGTCATTCCACACGCAAACCACCCTCTGTGTAAAAAATTTGCCCGTCATGTCCTTTTTAAAATCTCTCCCCTTAAAAATGTGCCCCCCTGGTCTCGAAATCCCCCATCCTAGGGAAGAGGCAACTACCATGAGCTGTATGTATACCCCTCATTAATGTGCAAACTCCACACAGATAGTCACCCCGAGGCTGGAATCGAACGGGGATCCTTGGTGCCGTGAGGCAGCAGTGCCAACCACTGACTTGCAGGGGGTGGTTTGGATGGGAATAGGGTCGCACAGGCAGGATGGGCAGAATGGCCTGTTCTCTCAACAGTTCACATGATACAATCCACTGGATTGCTGTGAATTTCGGTGATGAGGAGAAGAAACAAAGCAGGGATGATGATCAGATGGTTGCTGTGCTGGGGCGGGGGTGGGGGGGATGGTGTGAATGATAGGTGTGACTACCAATGAGTTGCACTGAATGCTGCTCCTGCTCTCTGGGCACTGGGGGCTGCGCTCGCGCCGGATCTATTTGATTGCCGGACCGGCCCCTTGGCAACCGGCCCCTTGGACAAACGGCGCCTTGGCAACCGGCCCCTTGGACAAACGGCGCCTTGGCAACCGGGTCCTCGGCAACCGGCCGGGGCAGTGACGGGAGGTGGAGGAGGTTGCGGCTCCGACGCCGGGGATCATGAGGCAGGTGAGGGAGGCCTGGCCGGGCCTGGACTGGCACCTTTCCCCACTTTGTCCTCCACATTCGCGGCTACGGCATCCCCCCTCCCCCCGCCGTCCTTTCTGCTCTTATTTTTAATTAAATTTGCCTCATAGTCTGTCTTTTCACCGCCGTCAGGCGCTGGTCGATGACACCGAGGACGTGTCCCTGGATTTCGGCACCGAGGAGGAGGAGGAGCTGGCGCTGAGGAAAAACAGGATCAGGTAAAATGTGGCGCGGGCGGGCAGGTTGACGGACTCCTGGGGTACGGGGTGTGCCCAGGTAACACTGACCGCCCCCTGGGTCACGGGTGTGCCCAGGTAACACTGACCATCCCCTGGGGTAGGGGTGTGCCCAGGTAACACTGTCCGCCCCCTGGGGTAGGGGTGTGCCCGGGTAACACTGACCATCCCCTGGGGTAGGGGTGTGCCCGGGTAAC